ATATATATATATATATATATATATATATATATATATATATATATATATATATATATATATATATATATTTGACTGAAATAATACAAGATTTATTTAAAACATTTCTACTTTGTCAAAAAACAACACACGATCTACCTCTTTTTTCTGATAGAGGTTTAGTAATTACATTAAAGAAGTGTCGTTATCTCCAGTCTCCATCAGTGTGCCATATATACATGTCTCGGGGCGAACAAACCCGGGGGGGGGGTAAATTGGGCGTACCTGCCCCTGACTTCCTTTTCAAGCACGAGGTTGCATAATATCTGTAAGAGTTATCCAAAGAATCTGTCACAGTAAGGCCACAGTAATACAGTAATACACGCTATACTTAACCCACTAAAATATGCACCTAATAGAGACATAAAATTGTTTTCCAGTGTAAAATAAACTGCGAGATCCTGCTTGCGCGTCTCGTTACGTCAACCATTCAACGTGTCACGTGCCCATTCAAAAAGTTACGTTTCACTTTCGACAAAAGAGGGTGTGCAGTCTTGCCAAGGGGGTAAAATAGCGCCACCTATACAGATTTCAAATTACATCATAAAACTTGCCCTTGCCTCCCATCTATCTCCTGTTTCATATCGTAATTTTGAAATCTTTGTACGTCCCTGAAGAACCTTCGGGCAAAACGGCCTTCAGGCAAAAAAAAAAAAAGGATGGAGGAAACAGTCAAATTTTGTTCATTTTTAAATATATTGATTGGATCCAAACTATGTATATAAAATGATTTGTGGTAAAAATACAATACTGGATTTATTTCGACAAATACAGTATATATATACTAATCTTAGATTCATTTTTTATTCAGCACTGAAATGAAAGCCATCTCAATTCTTCGTTCAGTGTTCCACCAATCTATCCATGTTCATCCACCACCCCTGTCTCTTACTATGACAATAAAGAGATGGAAGGGAGGCCAGTTACCAGGGCAACACTCCAAGGAGCTAGCCGCAAGGACCAAGGCGGCTTACTCTCCATTTGAAACATTAAACAAATACGAGAGCCACGTGGATTTGTTCTCTTGCGACTATCTTGGACTTGGTCAAAACGAGGAGCTTAATCGGGTACACGCCGACGCGATTCTCCGTCACGGAATGGACCGAATCTGTTCCTGCGTTGTCTCACACCCAGTCGATTCTCCCGTTAAGGATACAGAGGGGGCCGTGGCACGGTGGCTGAAGAGCGAAAGTGCTGCCCTCACCTACTCCTGCACAGCAGCAAACATTGGAGCCATGGAGATATTGCTAAAAGGAAACAAGCGACCAGTCTACGTGGACCGTTTTGCTCATGCGACACTTCAAGTTGGGGTGACTTTTGTCGGTGCTGCTGGGAGATTGCATGTGTTTCACCACAATGATCTGGATCACCTCCGATCACTGATAACCAAAACAGGGAGCGGAGTGGTAGTCGTGGACTCGATTTACAGCACTAACGGCGAAGAGGCGCCGATGGCCGACTTGGTAAACATGTGCCACGACCTTGGTTGCATCCTCGTTGTAGACGAGAGCCACGCACTTGGCGTAATAGGGGAGCAAGGTGAAGGTTTAGTCGCACATCTTGGTCTCGAAGACGGCGTTCATGTAAGAACCACATCATTACATAAAAGCCTTACCTGTGATAATGGAGTCATTGCCAGTAGCCGTGACGTAACTGACTGCTTCAACCACGCCACAACGTTAGGGATATTCAGCAATGCCATGCAAATCTCTGGCGCAATGAGAGTGAAAAAGGCGATGGAGTTGGCAATGCAGGCAACTGAACAGAGAGAGAACTTACAAAAGTTGTCTAAATCATTTCGACAGCAACTTAAAGAAGCCGGTTTCTCTGTAAGGGGGGACTTCAAACATCCCATAGTATCTGTTGTTGTCGGTCAGACTGAAAAGGCGATTGGCATACACCACTATCTTTGCTCTAAGGGAATATATCCATGGATTTTTGGTTACCCGGCGACCCCAAAAGACGGAGCCATGGTGAGATTTGTGATCAACCATTATTTGACGCCAGAGAAACTCGCCTACACCGTTGAAACAATGAGAAATCTCAAAGATGATCTAAAGACATGTTCTGGCATGGGAAGAGGGGAAGAAAGTGTAATCAGTCAAGATGTCGTATAATCTGGATAAAAAAAAATTCATAAACAACTTATTTAGCACTTTCAACCTAGACGAACGCGGTGCTGCAATTAAACATAACTATAATGGCTGTAACTAAGGCCTACAAGCACGATAGAATTTATTTATCACAATTACAAAAATTTTTTATTCAAATCATTGGTAAACTGGACCAAGTTAAGTTGAACCAAGTGGGGGATATGTACGTGTCACTGGTGTAGATTTTATTGACATTTGCGCTTTGATTAATGTTCAAAGTACGAATAAAAAATACTGAGAGTTAGATATAAATCTATGAATGACAATCATGCATGTTATATAATTTTCAAGCTTAAAGATATAATTTACATTTCGGCAAAGATGGAGGGAAAAAGGGCCCACACATGGCAATATGTTTTAGATAAATTTTATGTCCAAAATTCGGCCGAGGCTGAGAGCGAGCTGCGCAACCCCTACCCTTCAGGAAGGGGACGTAGGTTTCCTTAATGCTCTGACAGCCCGCTAATAGAGTTGTCTCTCTTGGCCTTATAACTGCCATATGTGCCCTATGCTAAGGTTATGCCCTGTATGTTGACTTAGACAAAATGAGAACTGCTAACCCATAGAGGCTTACCTATATGTCAAATGTTTCTGAACATAAATACCATACATATAATAATGATACATAGAATTAATAATTGTTTTGTAGTGTTAATTAATCAGGGAACATTAGGGAGGGACGGGGTTGGGTTTGAGAAACTTTATGAAATTCACTAAAAACTCTTCTCTCCTGAGCATGTACTGCTAGGTTGAAAATTTCTAAGGAAGTGAGAGAGAGTGTTCTTTGTTTTTGGTGAAGCTGAACTCCTTATGATTCTGATTGGCTGATCATAATGAGACTAGGTTGTACTGTCCAATCAGGTTTTGCTATACTGGTATCTTACCAGTGTCACTTGGTAGTAATTAACTTAACAGCGAGAAATACAAAGCGGAGACATCCTGTCTGTAATTAGGGAAGAAACATCTGGAACTTATCTTTCTATCAACCTATCTTAGTCCCTGGGAGTTTTCTCTGGGCATCTTACATCACATTAATACCCTCATCACACAAAAATCCCTTTATTGTAACCAATAAATTATATTTATGAGTGCATGAATTGAGAGGAGTCGCCGAGGCTAGTTTGCTGTCAAAATTTGTTATCATACACAACACAACAGAATCAAATAGATGTAGGTTGAAAATGTCATTTTATTGACATTTGCACTTTAATTAAAGGGATAATAACTCTTCGTATGAAATCTGTATTTCACAATAAAAACATTGTGAGTGACTCATAAAAATATAATATATTCTGTTTTCCCACAAAAACGGCTGTTATAGCTATTATTCTGATATCTGAGCTTGTCTTTTGACCACGTGACCTCCATTGATGGCCATACTATGTTAAAATCTCTTAAGAGATTTTAACAAAAAACCAAACTTTTTAGAAAAAAACCAGGGACTAACTTTGAATGTAAAAATGGATTCATTAACCATTGGTAAGTATGGGAAAATTGTTGTTTACTCCAGGAAAATTCATTTTTTGGCCGAAACGAAGAGTTATTATCACTTTAATGTTCAAAGTACGAATAAAAAATACTGAGAGTTAGATATAAATCTATGAATGACAATCATGCATGTTATATAATTTTCAAGCTTAAAGATTTACATTTCAGCAAAGATGGAGGGAAAAAGGGCCAAAGATACAGACTGTCTGCAGTCTGTATCCCCCCATCCAAGGAGACTCCTCTGAATTCATGCTAATTCCTCATAGTGATATTTATACAAGGTTGCATTCCCTTACAATGATTGAATTACCTAATTTTCATACTTTCTGTTACTTTTCTATACTTCCTGGGCTATATACCATACACCATTATGTGTCCGGTGTTTTGATAGTGGAGAGGCATAAATATCAAAGATATTTATCAGTACATATGAGCAATATTGCTGTAGTGAGAAAGGTTGGACTTATTGCTTGGTTCGTCACATTTTGTTTTTTGAGGAAAACGGGTTCTACGCCATTGCATCTCCTCCCGGAACTGCCATTACTAGAACATGCTTATTGGGTGAATATCAGCTGGTGTCAATCAATATATCATATTCTCACCTATTAAATTATTCTTGCATACCACAATCAACACATTTAATCGCTTTTCTTCATAAAATAATACAGAGGTGACCATTGTGAACGCTAGCTCTGTGCGCCACATATGTCGCAGCCCGGGTTGTTTTCTCCTTGGAAAGACGAGAATGTTCTATAATAACAATGCATACATGACAATGTATGTTTGTGTTCTTTTCATGCCTAAGTGTGCATTCAATTTATTCAATATATGTTGCAAAGAAATAATAAATCTTACAAATGGGCCACACAAAAATAATATTGACAACCACTGCGTGTTTTTGTAACAGTTTATGTCCGTCCTGTCTTACATTCATGCAAGTCGTACGCTCCAATGTTGACCGTACTTTCCTTCTCTGCAGTTATCAACCTTTCTTCACATATTCAGTTATTGAACAGACAGCACACCTAATTGCGTTTCTTTATAACGTAATAGACAGATGGCGATTGATGACGCTAACTGCCGCAGATCGGGTTGTATTCTCTCCGGAAAGACGAGAAAGTTCCAAATTAATGACCATGTATACCTTTTTTTTTTTTTTTTTTTTTTTTTTTTTTAAGGAAAGACAAGCCTGGGAAGCGAAGCCCGCCTTTGCCCCTTGACGGACCGTGGCGTGCTTTCGTGCCAGTTGAAACGGTTTAGAATTATAATTCAGCAATAAGATAATACAAAAGAACTTTTTCCTTGGCAAAAATCAAGACAATTAATTCCAATTTCATGCAGTTAGCATGTACTCTTCCAAACTGGCGATGTTTTTCTTATCGAATAAGAAAATAACTTCTGGTAACTGCCATTGTTTACGCAAGTTGATTTCAGAAAATTTAGATCGATCGTTGGGAAATTAAATCTAAATATTTCCCCCCATTTAGTATAAGTAGTCAGTGAACAGGGGAGTTAAATACCATGTACTGGAGCCTAAGGAACAACTGCTTCCAGTGTGCAACAAGATTGAAAAAAAATGCTTACAAAAGCGGAACTATAACAGAACTATAGTTGTAATATAAGGCGTTGATGAATAAAGTGCAGAGTACTTAGAGAAACTTCTTTTACATAGGACGACTTGAAAATGGAACACTAAATGCCAGCTGCACTCAACATGATGTCTTTCAAAGTAGTGGCGTCGACATCTTTGGTATTTTCCATCTTTGCACTGGTATGTGGCTCAGGTCACCATTATTACAACCCAGAGGGCTGCAAGACACACGTCTCTCACTCCTCTGTGTTCATGTCTTCAGCTGTAAGGGGTGTGGCTTGGTGTGCGTCTCATTGCTCCCTTGAGGAGGCATGTAAGGGGTTTAACTTGGAATTCGTTGATGCCGAATTTATATCGTGCGAACTGGTGAATGTCACATCAGATATAAATGGAACAGATCTCATTTGGCGACCTGGATACTCTTACTATGAAAAGGTGAGAAAACTGGAATCTGTATTTATTCTCGTGAAGCTATGTATCTTAATCGAGCACGTTGGAATGCTTCTTAACAAAGATGTATAACTGTTATGAAAAAGCACTATGTACCAGGAAAATTAAGAAAATACCGGCAAAAATGAAATCTCTGTAAAGAAAGTAGTGGATGCTTTTTCAATCAACGGCTAATATTGAAATTGATGTATACCTTCAATATTTTTAAATCTATCTAGAACATCTTCCTCAGGGAATGAGATTTCACCGTTTTCTATACATAACCTATCAGAGTAGAAAAGTTATGAAGGACGTATTCGTGTGCATCGCTTCTTTCAATGTTCTATTACTCCTTTTCTATCTATTTCTTTATTTATTTATCTAAACATTTTTTTTCCTTTTCTTTTGCTGGCATATTTGTTTCACAAATTCTAACATGTTATGGCAGTATATGTTAAAACCTGTCATAAACGAGCCCAAACATGTGATTTGTATCACATATATTTTACCATTTCCAGGTATCCGCTGGCTTCGTGACCGATACTTGCGAGCTGTTCAATTTTACAGGTACGTTTTTAATTGTAAACTTGATAAACTTTATTTCAATCACAATACAGATGCAGTTAACGTTATTACGATTACAATACAGATGGAGTTATCGTTATGAAACAATGGCCACTGGGCAATGCTTTTTCAAAAGGTCGTATTGGAGTGAGGCCCTCAAACGTTATTGCACTTTGGTGTATCATGTTACTTATAACCAGCCACAGAACAGCAAAATATCAAACAAATTTCAATTCAAAATCGGAACCAGCGTTATCAAAGCAAAGCCCTGCGTCAAGAATCCTGGGATAAGAATTGACACTACACTTTCCAGGAATAAGATTATTTCCAAGAAACGGATATGAGAAAAAAAGACGTTCCCAAAATGGCCACAATATTGTTAATTCGTACGACTTTGAACAGTTACTTCACACAGACACTGGCCGCCACTCCAAGCCGAGAGTGCATTCTAATAGTTAATTTTATTCCATGGTGCTTTTTTTTTTTTTTTTTTTTTTTTTTTTCAAGTAGCAACAACGTGTCAAATCAATCTACTGGTTTAACTATTTTCCAACCAGAATTCTGTGATCACAAGTTTGTTTTTTTTTTTTTTTTTTTTTTTTTTTTTTTGAAACATCTAATTCTTAGAGCCAACTGGGGCATTTCTTAGAACCCAACAGGTCCAGTTGAATGGAACATGATACCAATTGAAATCTGAAGGACAAAGTTAATTCATTACAATTAAAAATTTGAATTATTAGTTTACCTGAAATGAATAATATATGAAAAAATACGTTTTTTTAGAATCACCACATTTCATAGACGGCAACATTTGTTCCTTAAGTATCGAAGTATGAATTACTGAATGTCAAATGTGTTTTAGACTTTAGTTTAATGTATTGTTATTTTACACAGAAGCGTTGACAGGATTACACTCACTAAAAATAAGTTAAAACTTGAGTCTTAATATCTTATTTGAGTTGGATATTCAAGGATTCCCCTCCTAACGCTGCAAGAAATAAAGTGGAACTCGAAACATGCGTATAGATCCTAGTTTTCAACAGTAAGTGATGCGCCTTAGAGCTCAATTAAGAAAAACCCGGCAGGTGAAATCTATAAAGATCTTTTGTGCATTGTATGCCTTCATAAACATGTACTATATAATTATCTCCAGCACTGCCTTCAGTCCCAGAGGGGTTTGTACAGCTGGGAAATCCTTCAGCGTGGTATTACCACGGGACAAACAAAGTGTGGGAAGAAGCCAGGTCTTACTGTCGGTCTCTGGGCTCTTCCATCTTTCTGACGACAATTAAGGACGCCGAAGAGAACGCTGTGCTTGTTGATTATGTGCACGCCAATGGTGGAAGTAAGAGGCTCAATTTTATGCTATTGAAAAATGATTTATGATGAAAAGATCGCGTACCACTTTTAACGGGATTGTTGTTTTGTTGCTATTGTATTTATAATATTATAGTATTTAATCCGTATTACCATTTTCGCTGGTGGATTCATCATTATTTTAATGTTTCAATGTCAGTATCCTTTCTTAGATATAAAACTCTTTTTGCTGGATAATATTCAATCAGAAACCTCTCGAAATGAATAAATAAACGTTTCCCCACATATAATCCGCTTTGTATTTATAATATTGCGATATATTCCAGCACATTTTTGGACTGATGGAATCAATGGCGGCGCCCACTGGGTCTGGAACCGTACTGGCGAGAACATAACGTATACCGACTGGGCAAGCGTTTCCAGCGGCACCGGATGTTTGGTCATTGCTGTAAGACCGGACACCAGTGACCCTACTCATGGACAATGGTACAAAAACGCTTGTCATCACCCTTTTGATTTCGTCTGTAAACTATATCACTCTTTTACCTGAAAAGCAGGTGTCATGTCTGTGAAATTTATTCAATGACACAATAAAGACACCGAGCAGAGGTAATCTGTACATATATTAGTAGACGAGTTTTGATATATATGGTAAATGATATTCACGGAAATTTGCTCGTTTTATTATAATTTTTTATCGTTATCTATGAAAAATTAAAAAGCCAATGTCAATAATACGTAACCCATTGTTTAACGTGTCCAACCATAGAGGAGATCGTCAGAGTACAATAACGTAGAAATATCCATTGTTACATCAACAAGGGTGAACGTTTATTATGAGATGACAATAACTGAATACAGATTATTGCTGGGTCACCACAACAATTAGATTTGGTTTCTTACTTTTATTAATTAATGGTGTTCTATTTTCTTTTAAGTCACGGATAATAAAAAAAATTGTCGAGTAGTCAGCTTGATGAGGCTTACCGTTTCCAACTTTTCTCCAACTTTTGTAAAAAGAATGCCAAACATTTTTCTCCACTTCAATCTAAGTGTACCTACCAAGGTGTTACATATAGTTTTCATGTGTTGTTTATATACGACGCGTTTTAAATATATAATACAGTTTTAATTAATAATATTTATGACCACTAGAAAGAATCGTATGAGTTAAAGTCATAATAACTCTTCGTTTTGGCCAAAAAATGGATTTTCCTGAAAAAAACGGCAATTTTCCGGTACTTACCAATGGTCAACGACCCCATTCCTGCATACAAAGTTAATCCAGGTTTTTTTTCCTAAACGTACGGATTTTTGTTAAATCTCTTAAGAGATTTTAACTGACGGAGCCCTCTCTGACATTGCATAGTCACTGGTGACCTACTTAAAACCGCGGGAAAAGCAGACAACAACAACACTATATAACAATAATATAAGATTCATGAAATATATTTGTCTTTTTGATAAAAATGCATTTATATCCACAATTGTGCTATTCTGGGGTTTTCGTTATTCGACGCACTGTACAAAAACTTGCAACTTACGTCTGCGTCTGCATCAATTCGCTTCGCGCCATGTTATTTTGGTCTCGAATGAACACGAGAATCCGCGTGACACCCTTACGTCATTAGCAACGGATGCCTTGATGACCAGGAATAAAGGCATCGAAAGCCCTATTGACAAGCACAGATTTTAGTTTTACTACAATAACGGCCGTTTTAGTGGTAAAATACAATAGAATATATTTCCATGCGTTGTCTATAATGTATTTCTTGCAGAATATTGAATCTCAAATGAAGAGTTATTATTGCTTTACGAATAGCTGTAGGAAACTGATAAGTTATAAAAATGTATCATATTATTGAACAGTGCGTATTTTTTTTTCCCCGTCATTGGTACAAACCCTTACATTGTAACATGATAATGTAAGATAATTTCAATGTTTTAATTTCTACCTTACAAAAAAGGAGTTTGAACGATAAACTACAGCGTATTGTGTACCNTTTTTTATCGTTATCTATGAAAAATTAAAAAGCCAATGTCAATAATACGTAACCCATTGTTTAACGTGTCCAACCATAGAGGAGATCGTCAGAGTACAATAACGTAGAAATATCCATTGTTACATCAACAAGGGTGAACGTTTATTATGAGATGACAATAACTGAATACAGATTATTGCTGGGTCACCACAACAATTAGATTTGGTTTCTTACTTTTATTAATTAATGGTGTTCTATTTTCTTTTAAGTCACGGATAATAAAAAAAATTGTCGAGTAGTCAGCTTGATGAGGCTTACCGTTTCCAACTTTTCTCCAACTTTTGTAAAAAGAATGCCAAACATTTTTCTCCACTTCAATCTAAGTGTACCTACCAAGGTGTTACATATAGTTTTCATGTGTTGTTTATATACGACGCGTTTTAAATATATAATACAGTTTTAATTAATAATATTTATGACCACTAGAAAGAATCGTATGAGTTAAAGTCATAATAACTCTTCGTTTTGGCCAAAAAATGGATTTTCCTGAAAAAAACGGCAATTTTCCGGTACTTACCAATGGTCAACGACCCCATTCCTGCATACAAAGTTAATCCAGGTTTTTTTTCCTAAACGTACGGATTTTTGTTAAATCTCTTAAGAGATTTTAACTGACGGAGCCCTCTCTGACATTGCATAGTCACTGGTGACCTACTTAAAACCGCGGGAAAAGCAGACAACAACAACACTATATAACAATAATATAAGATTCATGAAATATATTTGTCTTTTTGATAAAAATGCATTTATATCCACAATTGTGCTATTCTGGGGTTTTCGTTATTCGACGCACTGTACAAAAACTTGCAACTTACGTCTGCGTCTGCATCAATTCGCTTCGCGCCATGTTATTTTGGTCTCGAATGAACACGAGAATCCGCGTGACACCCTTACGTCATTAGCAACGGATGCCTTGATGACCAGGAATAAAGGCATCGAAAGCCCTATTGACAAGCACAGATTTTAGTTTTACTACAATAACGGCCGTTTTAGTGGTAAAATACAATAGAATATATTTCCATGCGTTGTCTATAATGTATTTCTTGCAGAATATTGAATCTCAAATGAAGAGTTATTATTGCTTTACGAATAGCTGTAGGAAACTGATAAGTTATAAAAATGTATCATATTATTGAACAGTGCGTATTTTTTTTTCCCCGTCATTGGTACAAACCCTTACATTGTAACATGATAATGTAAGATAATTTCAATGTTTTAATTTCTACCTTACAAAAAAGGAGTTTGAACGATAAACTACAGCGTATTGTGTACCCGTTTAAAAATGTTCCAAAGTCAATATACAAGAACTTATATCTTACAAAGCCAAAAGCAGACAAGTTCAGAGACAGGTCAAGCAATTATTTGTGAGGAAAATATTGACATTTTCCCAAAAAGAAATTAAATTACACTCAAATAATCTTCCATGGAGTTTGCCGCGGGCGGGATAGTTGGGGCTCTAAATATACCTGCCAACACTACGTTTTTATCGAATATAAGACTAACAAATGACGAATGCCATTGTTTAAGTAAGTTGAAAGCAGGAAGTTTTGATCAATCATTGTAAAATAAAATTTAAATATTTCATTTCATTCCTTATAAGTAGAGAGTGAAGAGGGATAAAATATCATTTATTGCAGCTGCTGGTGCTGGAACTTGATTCGTATTAAGCCACGGAAGGTGCAACCCAGACACCACATTTATATTTAAACAGAATTTTAATTACTATAGAGAAAAGACATCGTTTTAAGAAACTGATAAGTATCAAGACAACTCCAAGGTAGAGAAGAGAGAATTTAAATTTACAAAATTGCCTAGGAAAACGAAACGGATGATGCCAACTGCAGTCAACATGAAGTCTCTCAATGTGGCGTTGTCTATGGCATTATCCATCTTGGCGCTGGTGTTTGGCTCGGGTCACCATTATTACAACCCAGAGGGGTGCAAGACCCACATCTCTCACTCCTCTGTGTTCATGTCTCTCGCCGTAAGGGGTGTGGCTTGGTGTTCGTCTCATTGCTCCCTGGATGAGGCATGTAAGGGGTTTAACTTGGAGCTCGCTTACTCCGAATTCAAATTGTGCGAACTGGTGAATGTCACATCAGATATATATGGAACAGATCTCATTTGGAGACCTGGATACTCCTTTTACGAAAAGGTGAGAAAGCTGGGAATGTCCTCCGTAATTGATGTCGAAGGTTAATCAATGTAAATTAATTTGGAATGGCTTCAAACAAGTATGTTTAAGTTAATTGTACCTAAAATACTTTTTGGGAAAATTCTTGGATTTTATTCTGTGATTTCAATATTATTTGATTTCATGATTTTAAATCCCTTGTTATTTCTGAATTAATTAGCTCATATTACATAATAAATAACTAAATTACAAAAGAAAACGTGAAGATCTATTTTGTAAAAGCCCTTGTTGCTGGAGCCAACGTCCTTTAAATAACGTCTAAGAGAACGGCTATATTTAACCCCTGTGCCAAAGATCGACTGGTCTATTACATTTCATGAAATTATTTATTTGTCAATGAATCAAGTAATGAATGAATCGATTTCGTTTTTTTTTTTTTTTTTTTTTTTTTTTTTTTTGCTTTGATTATATTGGCCCTCATTTTGAATGAAAATGTATTTGATATTATGTTCTTTAGTGGCTGGCTATAACATAAATGATATACATGTACCTTTTTGCATTTAAAAAACTTGTGACGGCCTCACATCAATAGCACCTTTTGAAAAAGCATTGCCTAGTAACTTTATAGTTTCATGACGTTAACTTCAGCATAAGATTTTTTTATGATTCCATGCGTATCTTTATCGACTAAGAAGAATATCAATAAATAGAATAGTTCATTAATTTTTTTTGCATTTAATCGTGTCATTTAGCAGTACATTTAAAATCTGAACCACCTGGTACAACCAATGACAAGTGTCATACATATTTTACCATTTCCAGGTATCCACTGGCTTCGTGTCCAACACTTGTGACCTGTTCAATTTAACAAGTATGTTGTTATCCTTTTTATTTTGCTTCTTCTTTAATATATTTTGGACTACGTCAATGCACAATCAAACTATGGCGATGCCCGTCTTATATAGGTTCATGATCATTGACGTTATTTGTGTATTGGATTAGTAAATGATACTGATAATTTCAAAAGCAGATAATGTTATATTGTTTTCACGATTGGGAAGATTGTTACTGCCGTTTTATTCCTTTTACGCTCTCCGCTTTACCGTCTATCACCAGAAAGGAGAGAGAGGGAGAGAGAGAGAGAGACCAGTCGCATCATATGCATACTGCACGCACTTTTATTTACAAAATTACCAATAAAACATGTTCTGTATGATTGCCTTCAGTCCCAGAGGGGTTTGTACAGCTGGGAAATCCTTCAGCGTGGTATTACCACGGGACAAACAAAGTGTGGGAAGAAGCCAGGTCTTACTGTCAGTCTCTGGGCTCTTCCATCTTCCTGACGACTATTGAGGACGCGGAAGAGAACGCTGTGCTTGTTGACTATGTGCACGCCAATGGTGGAAGTAAGGAGTTAATATCACTTTTCCACAGTAATGTTTTATCATCATCTAATTCTCATGTAATTGCTATTACTATGTCGTTTTGTATTTCTTTATTTTACTTTATAGCCATTAACATCAATATAGTGAGGATGATTATTTTTTATGTAACAGTTCTGCAGCAATTAGAGAAATAATTCTCTTTGATTATGTGTTTTATTCCAGAACATTTTTGGACCGATG